TTAATCAATGAGAAAAAACTTAACTGATAGATAAAAGCAGTAAATAAAACAATTTTTGAAAAAATATAGTATATCAGACATTCTGATATATCGGGACCTTGGTGGCAGAGATCTATGACGAAGAATTAAGGGGAGCAATCACTGCGTGGAGATTGGGGTTTGTTAAATTCAATGTCACATTTTTGTTAAGCACATAATATTTTTCAAATTTTCGCCTGTCGCGGCGAAAAATAAAAAGACACGGCAAATTAAAAGAAAACTCCGACATATGATTTTTCGCTTGGCGGGTTTTCGCCCCGCCATGGAAAGATACGACAAACTGTTGGTAACGATATGATACATAACATGTGGCGTGTTTACATGTGGCGGGGCGAAAATTGCACTTTTCGAGTGTTTTCGCCTGGCGATCTTTCGTCCCACCACTCGAAAAAAGCATGTTCGTGTTTTCAGATTTTTGCCTCGAAAACAAGCACAAATCAGCCACCATATTTGTCAAATAAAATTATGAATCGTTGTGAAATATTATAATTACTTTCAATAAATCGAAGGATACTCGGCTAATAAATTTAGTAATGAAGCTACCTGAACATAATGTTTTATTTATCACATATTCAAAATACGAACTATTAAAGGGACTCCACTGAGGTTTAAAAGTCTAAAAAACATAACATTTTGAATTTCTAACATAAATGAGCTGGGGCACTTTAAACAGTAATATATGCAAAGATAGTTAAGAAATATACTTAAAAAAAATTGAAAATCGTATTGTTTATGCTTTTCTTAGCCTAATTTGAGTGAAAAGCGTTTAAACGCTTTTCAGTTTGGGTCAGTTTTTTTTACAATTTGAAATAATATTTCTGGAAAACCTGTGTGCGCGAATGATCTGAAATTTTGCACAAAGAGTGGGTCTAAACCTACATGAAATGGTACAATTATCTTGAAAAAAATATTTTCGATCCCATCATGTCAAAAAAACTTAGTGGAGTCCTTTTAACGGTAGAAAGAATCGCTTTTTATTGATGCGCTTATAGTATAACGTTAACATTCTGTGCAGCTTATGCTCAAATATGTTTTAATAATACTGCACGTTTGTAATATCCCTTTTAATTGGATAATCGTGACTTTTATAATGTTTTTATATACACGGCTGCTGTCCATCTTTTAAGAAATCTTAAATTATTTCTCTCAAATTGGAAGTTTGCTGCATTATAAATTTCGTTATAAATATTCCTGACAGGTTATATGACCTATTTAAACGGTTGTTTGCAATATAACCATCGCCAATCAAGTCTGGTTTGTTTCAAAACAACCATTTATATAGGGCCATATAACCAATAACTAATATTACAACACAAATGACGCCACGTCAAAATATTAGCACGACCGTGCAATACCGTTTTTTACAGAGTCGCAAAAGCGACACGGGTATGTGGCAAAGCGCTGTTAAAACTTTTCTTTGACGCATTCACAAATTATAAATATCCCAGTTTTTAGAAACTTCATTACTTAAATGACAAGTGTACCATCGAAAATATATGTATGTCTAGTGCAAAAACCTTAAAAAAGTTGTTAACACCAAGACTCATCATTTTTATAAAAATATTATAATACAATAAATATTCTCTGCTCAAAATGGATACAGTTCAGAAAAACACCTATATTTATGTCTTACAATGTAGATTACTTTAATGCAACAGCTAAAACAGTTGTCAAATGATGACAATATTTCCCAATAGTAGTAAAACAACACTTTTTCAAATAGTTATGGAAAACATTTTAAGGCCTTGAATTTAAGTGTAACGTGGTGCCTTTTTAATTAAACGATATAGAATATACATGTTTTAAAAAACAACAAGCAGACCTTTCAACCTTAAAATGTTATCTTACTGATTAAAGTGTCCCCGATTGAAACGTATTACTGAAAACAATATCCACTTAAACATAAAGAAGGCAAATAATTCTAAAGACAATCGGAATACCTCGACTATATTAATTTAATATCCCCTGATTTCTATGTATCCGTCAATACGTTTGCGACAATCGGACACAAGTTCGAATCCAGTTTCTTTAAATGTTTGGTATCCCTTACTTACGACGGCGTTGTTCATTTGTCGCACGTGTGAAAAAGAAGGGAACATGCAATGTTTGTTTTGTGTTTTTTCCCCAATACAATCGGACCGTTGAATAACATTCAATCAAGGAATTTTTCAAAATGGAAACTATGCATTATTACAATTATTGCGAATATTGAAATAGTTAGAATTAATACAATTATTTATGATTGTTTCTTCAAAGATGATAAAAAATGTAAATGCTGTTAACAAAATCCTGAAGAAAAAAAATTATTTCTCGTGATTTAAGATCTGAATGGAAAATCTTCCTGATACGGATTAAAAAGATTATAAAGAACAATATCTTGAGAAAAATATTTCTCGTCTTAAGATTCAAGATCTGACAGGAAGATCTTTTTGTTTGTACATCTTTAAATTGAAGCAGAGAGTTGCCATTTTAAACAAAGCATACTTGTTTCACAAGAGATAAGTTGAATAAATCCATAATATTACATATGAAATGATGACGTCACATTTATAGCTTAAATATAGTTATTGTCGTCATAGAAACCGTAAGTAAACCAAGCAATAGAAAATATAAAAATATCTAAACTGCATGCTTTCAGATGAGCCACTATCTTAACAAAATTAACTTAAGCGTAATAATTTACATGTTATTTGCAATAAAGAACTGATTTTGTAATATCAACTTTTTTTATCACAATATTTGTACTGAGCTACCTACGCAGTTAAAACTATTTTTGTTTATTTTGACACATTTTTTTTTCGAAATTTACGTGGATTACAAGTGCTGTTTGCAATAAATTATTTCTTTATTCTCTTCACAATATTTTACTATAAAATACATCTCTTTTTTAAATATGAAAATACATGTAAGCATCAATCTGGAGGCATGTTGCTTTAAGTGTTACAATACAAGAAACCTATTTCAAATTGCAAGATAATCACTTCTTATATATCTTCCTTTTATTGTCTAATATAGCTTAATTGATAAATACATACAGACATACAGAGACAGTCATAAAAAGAGAAAAATAAAAACGTTACTTTTCTGAAGAGAACTTAATCATATTTGCTGTATTAAAAAACAATAATAAGGAAACTGATAGTTAAACAATAATATTTATAAAGAAAACATTTTAAAAGAAGAGTTTTTAGGGAAATTCCTGTGCTGTTACACATCAGTCCCACTATGATTAAATATTATTTTGTAATATCTTTTTTTCTCTAAAAGATCAAAAAATTTGACTGTCACTGAAACAGGGCATCCAATGAATAATAGTATGCATTATATAACGTCATATTATGTGTCACCGAAATAAACTTTATTGTGTGTTTGATGTGTTTGAACTTTGGAGGAATACAATGTGATAAAAAATTATTGTTTATCATAACAATAAAATAAGTAGTAAATATGGATTGAAAGTAAATCTACAACATTACTTCAAATGTAAACAAAACAAGAGGGTGTAATATATATCTGTGAAATTAAGTATAACACTTAAAGTCTGGTATCACATATATGTTAGAGTGTGATGTGACCTCAAATCGGAAGTGACGTAAATTTTTCCTAAATAGCAATATAAAATTAAAGTGAAATATTCCTATGGAATTTGAGACATTTCTTCTGATTTGATTTAAATCAATACAGGATTGGAGCAGTACCTCTAGACGCTTGCAGAAATCATGATCACAAAATAGACAAATATAGTTTTTTTCGCCGACTTTTACTTTTTTCATTCATTATCATACTTAAATCGGTGTGAAAAGATGAATTAGACATTTTAAAGTTCATTCCGTTGAGTAAAGATGCAATATTTTAGCATTTTATGATTCAAGCGCCTTGCCCGGTATATACCGGAATACGGTATTTAGTGTGGTGCTCCACTCACTCTTTCTTATCATTGGAATACACAGATTATCAATATAAAATTAAAGTGAAATGTTCTGATGCCTTTAGAGTCATTTCTTATTATTTGAATAAACAGATTCACCAGTTTGCACAGAAATTGGAACCTAGAAAACAAACTTATGTGCGTGCTCTGTTGAGCCGTATTTTACACATATTGAAAATATAAAACGTCTGTGAAATGACATTTGTGTAAGAAGTGTCAAGTATTTTCGCCAAAAAGGATGTAAAATACTTCTTTAGCATGCATCATGCATGACGATCTTATAACTATAAAGATAGACAAAGAGGGCGGGAATGTCGCATAAGTATAACCATACACATGTATATGGGCGGGAATGTCGCATAAGTATAACCATACACATGTATATGTTTTATGCATTTAAATGCAATCTTTAAATTTTATATAAGCAGGATGGGCTTTAAAAGTCAAGTAAACAAGATATAAACAAAGACTCATGAATTTCAATAAAGACAGAATATGTTTATTTATATTTAACTTGAATATATTCTTTCTATATACACAATATATGCATAAATCATATACTTCAACACAGCATAAAAATGTTCTGAACAACATCGTGTTAAACTTTACAGATATGTTATTATATATTCTAACTCGACCCGCATTTTTTCCTATTGAACATAGAAGAACCAAAAGTGTGTGTTATTATGCTTTGACGTTCTATATTTAGACATGTGACGTAATCATTATACACTAAAAATGTGACGCGCTGACATTAAGTACGGAAACATATCAGGCGCAATTTAGCTAAATATCAGGTACGGCAGCATTTATTTGTTGATTTCGTGTTAGAATCGAAATAATATATCCAAATCGGTGATTTTATTGCTTGATAACATCACTGTTTGTCGTTCGGATGCGCATCATTATATCACTCGGGCTACGCCCTCGTGATATCATTCCCCGCATCCGAACTCCAAACAGTGATGTTTTTGAGCAATAAAATCACAGTTTGGGATATATTATTTCTTAAACATAAATAGCATTTGCTTACTTTTTTTCGACTCTTCATATTGAGACTGTCTCATAGCTTCTGTCTCTGCTGTGACACCTGCAGTATGACAATTTTATATATTAAATATAAATATCTGCACTAAGTAATAATTAAACTTTAACAATCGTTTTACGTTATCTGCATTTAAATTCATTTATCTTTTACATGACAGGTCTACTTTACTAAGGTTACTTTAAACAAATTTCAATTGAAAATAGAAGTTGAGAATGCGAAATTGAATTTCAATTTTGATTACCAAACACAATTTCGAATGATAACAAATAATGAAAATGAAAAATGAAAGTCATATGCTTAAATTGTAATGATAAAATAGAAGAAAGTTATTGTAAATTATAGTAAGTTTTGATAATGTGCATTACTAAATATCGCGAATGTACATTTTTACATAGTACACGTGTATATATATATAAGTGTGTTTTGGGAAATGCAGAGTACAAAGTTCTTTAATTTTTTATACGTTTATTTCTGTTAGCGCTTTTAAATGTTTCTACATATCTTCAGACAGTAATGTATAATATAATCATAACAAATATAACAATGACGTAACGTTATAAAAGTGCGGGAAACGTAAAAATACGACGTTGCGCTGCAAATGAGATATTCTTTTACCTTCTATATAAGAAGTATGAAATTGCTACAAAAATACATAGGGTAAAATATTCTCTAAAGGGAGGTAATAAATAAGTATTAAAATTCAAAACATTAAGTAATTTTAGAAGTAGATACATACGTATATATATAAAAGCATACTCGAATGAATGTCGTAAAATTTCATTGTCGTGTTTTGAAGTTGGATTTAAAGTAGCTTTTACATTTTTACTTTTTAAAATAGTGTTCGGTTAAGATAATAATGCATTTATCAGAAGAAAAGATCTTTCAAATAAACCAATAAAATAAAATAAAAGAATCGTCGGTCAAAATAACGTGAATGTTAAAAAAATCAAGAACGAACATTTTCTAGTTTCTTCCTTTAATTCCTCTATTTGCTCATCATGTCTTCTTGTCTTCTTGTTTAACTCATCAATACTTTGTGCATGCCTTTTTATGGTTACATTTTGCATTTTAAAAGACTGTTCTGTATCCTTGATTTTATCTTTTATCACATTTAATTCAGCTTCTACCCCCTTTTCCAACGTTTGCCAACTGTCTATGGCCTTCTGAACCCTTATCTCCGCCTGTGGATCAAGTGGATTTACTTTAAAGTCATCAATCATTTTCTGTAGGTCTGGTACAGGAGACACCGCCGTGTTCAACCTCAAAAGAACCTAGAAAACATGAATTGCGTCACGATTCCATGCTAAACCTCACATTAAAACATATTTCTTAAAACCCAAACACACAATACACTGTTTACAGTGTCTATTGTAGAATTCGAGAAATAGGGGGGGGGAGTTATCGAAAACTGAGAATTTATTACATTGTTGTTTTTTTTTTTTTTTTTTTTTTTTTTTTATTCTTTCTCTATCCACTGCCTCTGAAAAAAATAGTGGGTAATTCTCAAAAATATGAGTGCAATCCCCCTCCTAGAATAGACACTGGTTTATGAACGTATTGTATACTTGAACAGCTATCATGTTAATTTTCACCCTTGTTAATGCATTTACTGTTAGATATTATATTCTATGGTATGCTTTTAATTTTATAAGTTTGCTTACTTTGCTTTGCGCTCCGCTATGCGTTGTAGTTTCATTCCTGTTATGTTCCTTTATGTTAATATTATGCTATGAACGAGCAGAGATTAAATGACAGAATATTATTAATATTCTTGCGTATCACCCCCCTCCCCCCAACACTCTCCTGCGTAAACTCCCCATACATGCAGTTGAGTCGCGTGTTTTAAAGATATGTTATTCTCAAATGTTATATTTGGAAACACTTATAATAATTATACAGTATTTTTTGAAATGTAGAATAAACATATTTTGATATACACAGAGGAAATATTCAAATATGTCATGTTCAAAACTCTTGACGCTACAGGTAATAACATATGATTACATAGTGTCATATAAACATAACTGGCAGTTTTCATTAGAATTGGCCAAATTAATTTGACTTGTTAAATGAAATGCAGCTCTCCAAACATAGTTTAAACATTCACTCATTCTAATTAAACATATTCAGAAATACTTTATTAGATTTGAAAGAATTTCTGAAGTAAAAGTATTTTACCAAAATATGAGCATAGTATATATTTAAGTTATCATTAACTTGCTCCTAATTCATTATTCAAACATTGTTAAACATCCGTTTGACATTTATAAAGAATGGATTTCTGTGGCATAACTTAGTGAAATAAAATACCAGTCTTACCTGTTCGATCTCCGTCCACTTTGTTGTAAACTCAGACAACGTTATACCACTAGTTGAAGATATGTGACTGAGCTAATTAAAAAAGAAGTAAGAGAATGTTAGATATGACTATTTGTATCACATGAAAAGTTGCGAGGGAAGACAAAAATAAATGAAATATGATAATTGCATGCAAGACAATTGGCTAAATCTAAAATTATGAAGCCAGTCTTTGATATCATGACCATGTTTTGTAGTTTAATGTAATGTATTAAATGGAGTCGTGTCTCATGAAACTGAAGCTTATACTAAGTTAGAAGAATCATTAAGTCATAAAGAAAAAAATACATTATTATCTTTATTAGGATTTATAGTTCTATACCTGGAAAGCTGTTTCAGCAAAAAAAACTTTTTTATACGTAATAATTTACACTTAACGTCATATAGATTATTTTTGTTTACAACTAAATACCACAAGCACTCAAACCATAAAAACATAACTAAGTATCTCATTTCTCATTTACCTCGTTCCTGTACATTTTCAGACGAGAAACATCAGCCTCAACTGAAGTATCACCTTGTGCAGGAATTGAATTCCATTGAAAGTTCTTGTTCAGCCCGAATAACTTGATGTTCCTTAGGAGACATATGATTAACGTGATGTCTATGTCTGTTGTAGTTGGACCGCTGCCACCTGTTGGAAACAGTAGATCATATTGCACCTGCGTAATTATTCCGCGTGATCTCAAGTTTGTAATTGTGTGTCTTTCATTCTTCAAAAATGCGCCAAGAGGGACATTTTGCAGTTTTTGATTGAAAATATTCCTAAGAACTAGTAGTCCGCCGTCTATAATCAGCATTTGCAGACGAAAAAGACAACAACTATTCTGCTGCGTTACTTGACTTGCGGTTGCCATTATTCCTTTTGTTATCAGATCATAATTTCTGTAATTACATAAATAAATGCATGATCATTAAATCAAAATGATTCGTGATTTTGTCACCTTACTCAAAAAACTGCCAATTAATACTAACTGCTTTTTTCTCAGATGAAAAGGATAATCAAAGGCAACAATAACTAGAACTGCCACTGTCATGGCGTGAATACCCCGCTTAACACTTTGTCAGATTCAACAGTGGTCATTTAGAGCTCAAGGACAACCTCCCAGCCAAATCTGAGGGAAGTAAGCCAGTGCATTGTTAAGTTATGTATTCTACATGTTTTTAGTGGCAAAGATCAAAGTGACCTTTACCTTTGACCTACTGACCTCGAAACTGAAACTGCCACTGAATGACTTCAATACCCCCCATTCATGCAGCTTTGTCTGGAGGTGTTTTATGATGAATATATTAGAACATAATTATATGCTTCAAATGTGAAAATGTAAAACTCAATACACTGTGGACAGGCATTCTTAAGCATTTGAACAGAAAAGCTTATTGTAATAAGAGCCCCTGTGACTTTAACCTTTGACACAGTTACCTAAAATCAAAAGTGGTCATCTAATAGTCATAACCAACCTCAATACTGAATATGAAGACGGTTGACCAAAGCATTCTTATGCAATTGAGCAGAAAAGGTTTTTGAACTAAAGGCCCCTGTGCCCTTGACCTTTGACCCAATCACCTCAAAATCAATAAGGGGCATTTACTAATCATGACTAATATGAAGACTGTTGTTTAAAGGATTCTTAGGTAATTCGGCGGACAAGCTTTTAAAAGTCAAGGCCCCTGTGACCTTGACCTTAATATAAATAAGGGTCATCTTCTAATCATGACTAACCTCCATGCCAAATATGAAGACTGTAAGTGAAGGATTCTTAACAGGGTTCCCACAATGAAGAGAAATCAAAATTCCCTGACTTTTCCAAGACTTTTACCTGACCAAGAATATTTTTCCCTGACCAATAACAGTGTCATGTTTTCACAATCTTTAGAGCATTAAATATATATTTTATGTGCCGGCCTCATTCTCCCTGTATTAGCCAACCTCTTTCCTCCCTTTCTTTATTTTAAATTATTTCAGATACAGAATGCATGTATAAGAATAAAAGCAACAATTGTCATTAGCTACTTGTGTAGTTTACTTTCAATTAGCATGAGTACATTTATCCAAAATAAAAAGTATTTGATAAGAATTTAACATACATGTATGTCATGCTCATATATGTTTCATTCTTGAGCAGATAAATCAGTGTAATCACAACTTTGAGATACTAACTACCATAGCTAGTTTTGTATAATTTCTGCTTATTAGCTTTGCCTACTTTTTGCTTTCATGTAGCCACTTCATTACATGTCTTATTGTTTCTTGCTAAAACATAAGTTTTTAATTGATTACTAACATTTTTTCAAGTAAAATGCATGAGGGACAACAATATAAAAGATTGCATTCGTGAAAAAATGCTTTGTCGCTATGTCATAAAATTTAAATCATCATTATAAATACATGTATATACATAGGGCTATAACTTTAACAATCTTGGTATAGGTTTATTACATAAGTTTTCATGCTAGATGTTTAACCTATAGCCTTTGTCAATTCAGAGAAGAAACATTTTACTAAATGTATACAGTAGGATGAACGTTTCAGTTTACACGCAAAACGCACGCTCTGGAAAAAACGCACGCACGTTACACGCTATACGAACGAACGTTATACGCACGCTATACGAAACGAAATACGCAGACGCACGCAAAACGATATACGCTAAACGAAATACGCTAAAAGATATACGCACGCTAAAACTCACGCAAAATGAATACGTTTCTAAACCTTTATTAAAATATCATATATATCATATTAAGTTTTTAATAACATTAGCTACATGTAGATCGTTTAGCGATTAATTTTGATTAAATGATAGCTAGAAATGTATTTTAAACGAGTTTACATGTATGTTAGAGCTAATATGCAAATCAATTTTTGTCACAGCCTCAACAAATGACTTTTAAGCTATCATGCGCTAATATCGACAGTAATTTAATAATTAAACGTGTTCCTCTTTATGCGCAATCGGATAAAGAACTATCCCTTGCACTCACTACGTAACCTGACAACAGTAGGCCTACGTAATAGTCCAACATGGCCGACATTGAAAAATGCATTACAAATTATCATAAATATACAGTGCTAACAATTAAATTCAGATGGATTTATGGGGCAAATCTATATATTAAGTGAGGCTGCATCATAAACAATCGAACTTTAAAATCTTGAGTGTAAAATAAAGGAATTAACTATTTTGACAGAAGTCAAAACACAGGATGGCAAAGTCAAAGATTTAACACAAGTGACATTTACTGAAGTTATCTTGATAATACTGTATAGGAGGAGCTTACAAGCCATCTTGGCTTAAATGCTCAGAAGAAGGAGAAGGTAAAGGTAAAAATAAAGGATTCTACCACGGATAACATTAAGGGAAATGGATAACATTAAGGGAAAAGCTTCCAGAATCAGGAAGAATTAAATTGCTGTCACATTTACGTAGATTTAAGTTGATGTCCTGTATGTTTCATTAGGACACCGCATGATTTACTGTGTTGTCGCCAGTAAAAGCTCCTCAAAGCGAAAGTGAAAGTAGAAATAAACAATACCTAAATCCAGTGAAATCACAAAAAGGTAAAATTTCAGGGACATTACAATATATGAGTACATATAAATATTAAGAATGCACTTTTATTTTGGGTCTGAAACTGTAATCGAGGGGAAGAAAATGAGAAAAATAAGGAAACCAGTCAACTGATGCACCTCCATTAGTGTAAAATGGGGAGAAGTCAAGTGTGGGACTCCAAGAATTTGTGAATCATGTGTAAAATGTAAAGTTATTGGATTTACAAAGACAGTGCAACAGAAAATATTTTTCATATCACTTAAAATTGAAATTTATTGACATGCGCTTAATATGTAGGGCCTATGCTATATTAGTACTAAGCAACATTAAATGCCTATAGTACCTTCCTTTTTATGTTACTGTCACAAGTTTAAAAAATATGCTGCCTTACCGAGACTTGAACTCCGGACCCTCGGAAACTATTCTCTCAGCTCAACCAACTGAACTATCAGGCTGCTTACACATCACCTCCCTAAATAGGGGACAGTTTGGAACCATGACATATTCCTGCCTTATTGAAATTCGTCCTTGAATAGATACAATGTGAATAGGACTTTTATACCATCGTTTTATACCATCACAGTCCCCTGTGGAATAGGTGATAGTATGAAACTCCAAGTAAATTTCACATTGTTGTTTTAGATGTTAAAGAAGAGAACTGTTTATAGTTTCTGATTACACCCAGTAGAGAAAAATACCCCTGTGGTATTATTATAATCTAAATGATTAATCCTTACAGGCTATCCTAAAAAACTAATTGGTGAGGAGGTAATTAATTGAGGGCACCTCAGCCTAGGTCCACACAAGTCTATGCAAACTGCCCCCCCCCTTATTTAAAAGCTGTCAAATTTAGTACAGCTACAATGTCTTATAAAATATAAGATCACATTACTGGACAATAATTAAATATTTCCAAACATTGACGTAAGACATTATCATTAATAAATGCAGACAAGCAAAAAATTAGCTGGAAATATTTATTAATCACAGAGTAAAGAAAATATGCAGCCTGACTGAGACTCAAAACAAAGACCCTCAGAATATCATGCCTCATCAGCACTACCGTATGAACCCAGAACCCTTTGAATACCATACTGCAGCTCTACTGCATAAACATTTTTCTGTTAATATGCGATCTGCGCTATACATGAACATAGTCCCCCACTTTATTGAAATATCTCCTTAAATAATTGATGAACTGACATAGTGAGATGTCTGTTTATACAGTCTTGGCCCTATGTTGGTCCCCAAAAGTAACTGCGCAGCCTGACTTCAGGGGCTCAAACCTGGGAGGCTTGCATGGACACTTTGAACCATTCCGAAGCTCTACCAACTTAGCTAAAAGGTTTCTTCAATATCCCCTTCCCTTATCATTGAACAGTTAATACTGTGACATCCCTGCCATATTGAACTCCACAATTTTTTCATAAGTATAGAGAATACATCTCAGCTATATACCACCCTGGCTCTACATTTTGCCCCGATATCAAACCCCGGACAATCAGAATACCATATGAGGGCTGTACTGACTAAGCTATATCAGGCCATCTCACATTCCTACCCCCTCCACAATTAGTACAGAAAAAAAAAGAATTATTATCTCAAATATACCTTTAAAACCCAAAATGGTAAGTGCAGAACTCCTTTAAAGATGAGAGTGCATCATAATTTTGTTAACCTATCTAGCTCCAGCAAAGCAATGGCACTCCCCCCCCCCCCCAAAAAAAAAAAATAATATCCCCAGAAATATGTCAATCTCCCTATATTAAGTTATTCAAATTAATACAGTAAATACTATACAGCTCATTGAACATCCATGTATTTAACAATTAATTCCTTTTTGTCTCTAATTTTAAGGGGAAGCAACTCATGTTTACCAAATTGTTTGTCCTTATCTGTCTATCTCAGACTATTCTAGCTGTTTATAAACAATTAGGTTATTGGCAGTGTGCTTATCAGGCTATACAGAAACTTTCTTATAATTTTTTATTATAAAAGACTGGGATAATGGATATTTTGTGTGACTGGCTGTAAAATATACTTTAGAGTTGATTTTAATTAGTCCATACCTAAAGGTATCCTGCAACAGGATTCATCCAATAATATATATATATATTTTTTTTTTTTTTTGATATTCAGATTGTTAATAGCTTTGGTGATAGACTGTGGTGTCACGACCTCTTGCTGATAACAGGCAATTTAAAGAACTTGAAGTGCTAAATGTTGTCAAGCAGTTTAATTGTGTCGCCTTGAAAAAGGCAACATATAGGGGTTACTTTTGTCGGCGTCGGCGTCATTTTTGGCGTCCGTGTCGGCGTCCCCTTAAGC